GTCTCTTTGACGAGTTCGTAGCTTGGTGCGGCGAATGGCGAAACTCACTGATGATGCCGACTACGATGCCAGGGAAACGTATGAGAACGTTCAAGTCCACTGTCAGATGTTGGGAATCATGACAACTACTATGGCAGACGGCGTCGGACTAGGTGCGTTCTACATGGTCTCCCTGAAAACAGTTGCGACAACGAGGTCAACCTACTTCTATCAATCGAAAGGAGACTGCGACCACACCAGAGGCCACAACATCTTGGTCTTCATATTTTCAATCCTTGTAAGTTTTACATTAAAAATGCACATTTCAGGGTTCAAGTTTTCTGAAATCCAGACTTAGATCTCCATGGTTGAGATGGCATAGATAAGATAATAACTGTAAATTCTTCAACTTGAGCAGAAATGACAGATGGTCATATAAATCATTACTTCGTGGCAGATGCGATGACTGATATCGGGTGAATAAACTTATCATATTTTGAAAGCTTGAAGGAAGATGTTGGTGAAAGCTAGGTGAGGATCGGTACCGATGGAGTTCAAGTAGTCCGACAGCGAAGAGAAACTAATGATGAAGGCAACTATGCTCCGATAGATGAACTTAATAAGTCACATATCTGGAGGTTATTTAAACAGATGAAAGTACAAATTTGATCAGAGAAGAAAATTATGGCTCGTTAGTGGGTATGTATCGAGGGTAGAGCACTATAAGACAGGAAGTGCATTTGGTTAAGAGGGAAGAATCAATGCAAGAACTGTTCAAAAAGACCACAAGCGAATTTTAGCTTTTGGGATTGTGTTCAGTTCAGAGTCCGATGCTTAAACAACACAAGAAACTGACGATGTGGTACGGGGTGTGTTCTTCGAAGTCGTTCTGAAAGCATAACTATATTACAAAAAAAAGCGTGTTCGAAACTGGAATCCATTCCAGCCTTGATGAGAATACCTTTTAGGAGCAAGAATATATGAAAACTACTGGAAACGTAGGGTCTTCCCATATCATTACGCCAAACTTCTAGTAGTTAACATTCTGTTCAAATCGGGGACGTTCTTTTTTTTCTCTTTTTCCGCTTCGCCGTGACCCACGGGGTTTAGACTATTCTGTTTGGCGCCATCTATTATGAGATTTATTCACCCTATTTCGTGTAAGGTGATGAAGGACTGGTAGTAGAATTTTCCCACAATGTTTTAAGTAGAGCTGACGTTTTCATTTAATTTCACCATAACGAAATAGGGTGAATACATCTCATATTACTGATTTACTGGTAGTCTCGAAACTCTACTCAAATACGAAAAATGTCTTTTTATTGTCAGCTCTCTTTTACTCAAAATATGGCAACTGGTGATATTATTTTTTCCTTCTCTCTCTTAGTTTCGGGGTCTCGATCTTTGGCGTTGTAGAAGGCAAGCGTTTTTTATTTTAGAGACAGTCCAAGTCCTTAGGAAAACAACCGGGTGAATTCACCTTATATAATGAATGACTGATGCAAAAATTGGCACAATTTTCCTGCCAGATTAGCTTTCTCTGATAATCAAGTTTATAGTAACTTCGGCAATGATTGCCCGAATTGGTGTTGTCAGCATACTTGTGCTCTTGAAGCATTTTTGTCACAGTAATTAAAGCATATCACTTTGCCTAAAATATCCTAGAATTTTTGGAGATTAATACATTATTTAATATTTAACTGAGTCACCCGAAGTTCGGGATATTCAATTGCAAATAATTTAAACTAAATTTACTTTTTTCATTCGGTCATTCCATATTTGATCTGCCATCGATTCATAATTGCTGGGATATTTTCCTCTCCACCACTAGTCATATTGAAATTTAACTTATTTATCGATGAACCTAGTGTTCATTTACCTATTGCTTTGTGGTTTTCTTATTATTTGGGGTATTCGAAGGTTTAAATATAGCATACGGTTTTGTAATCCTGGAGAATTGCTGTGTATAGGAGTATAAAAGCACCACTCTTGATCATTGACTCAAATAGCTTTTTATTTTTTTACATCTAGAATACGCCAACATTTACCTTGCCCTCTCCAGTCATCAGCATCAACGAATATATTGTATTTGGCGACCAGGTATTTGACGTCCTTTAAACAGACTCTTGTCTTTCCATTATTTTATTTAATTAATTAATAAACATTCCATTTTTTTATTAGGTTCTCAGCTTGACAATATGCTTGTATAATTCTAAAATATTTTATTGGTCTATCGTCATACTTCTACTCTAATTATTTTTCATTTGCTACCATAGCCCATCGGCAATTTAAAATAGTATACATGGAAGTGGCTTAACTACGTTTTCGCGACTTGGTTGTATTTTGAGGGCGACCTAGATTAATGAGTCTTCTGACACCCAGTGTGATATTATCATGACAATTTTCTGCGTTTCACTGTGGACTTGGTAAGTTTTCATACTTCTGTTGAGCAGAAAGTTGGTCAAGGGGTAGACTCTACCTGGCTCTACCGGGTTCTAGCTTAGTGCTAAGAATAGCTGGGTTCATTGAAGATGCCGTTGAGACGTCTGGGTCCACGGCCTAATGCTGGAGATTATCTAGACTACTATGGCAAATGACTTCGGATGAGATGCATTCATCTTTCACTATATGATTGCGTTGCGAAAACGAGGTCAAACCATTTTTAAGCATATTTC